TTAAAACAACTGTACAATTAATTTTTAATAATGGCTAAGTTCTCACAGTTTTGCAGATTTCCTGCTGGCTATTAATCCGTCCTGTGCATCCTTTATAAGCTACTTCGAATTTTAGTCACATTTTTCGAATTCTTGCTTATGATGTAAGCGATTGTTTGCATTCAACAATAGGCTTACAGGTAAACCGTACATCGGCGAAGAGAATTGTTATGCAGCCTATGTAGGTTTTCGATAGAAGTTACTGTTAAAAACATTTTATATTCTTCGTGGGAATCTTTCTAAATGTTAATACTATTTAACATTAAGTAACGTATGCCAGCTAAACTATTCTAAAACTATTATTTACTGTGCATAAAGTTGGTTATGTAATCATTTATTAGATATAATTTATGCTCTACAAATTATATCCGACTCCACGAATATTACTAATATTTTAACCCTTTCTTGCGGGGGAAGTGGGAAGTAACTTCATTTAGAAACCCTGAGGCTTAAATAGTATCTTGTGTTTAAACAAAGTTACCACCCGAGTTAATTTTAGAGTTATCGTGGCATTCCTTTGCCTGAATTATGTGATAACAGAATACAACTTGAAATTAGCATAAGAAATTGTGTTTTCCGACACCACACTCGAAAGTATTTAATATATATTGTATATATGTATATTCACATTCATAAGGATAAGGGAATGTGTAAAATGTTTTAGATATTATGAATCAATTTAAATGACATTTGGATTCGTCCCTTTCAATAAAAATAAATAGGTTTTTCAAATCAGAAATGTTTTTATCTTGATATATGGAATTTCTGTTTATATTTCCGATATGATATATACGTTTGTCATCATATTTGAATGGCTGAGAGTAGATTTTGTATTGTATCTTCGAATGTTTCGAAAACACACAAAGAAAATAAATAAAATCACATTTAGACTCTCAAATATAATAGAAATAAGCAACACCTACTCCGTTTTTTGAACAAACAGTCCATAAGCGGTGAAAGTTGATAATAGAGACGTGGAAATCCGGATTCCAACTCATTTCCAGCATGTAAAATATTTTGTCTTAAATTTTTAGACCTTTTTTGCATAGCATTGTTTTAGTCCATTGCATTCTTATCCAATAAAGGTAGATCAGAATTTACTTTCCACTGTGTATCTTTTCAACTGGTAGTTTATAAATTATGCAGAAAATTTGAAAATAGAAGTTAGGCATTTGTTTGTTGGCATCTTTCTTTTTATCTCGCACGAGTGAAAACGCATAATTTGGGTAAGCTCGTGGAATATATACATTTATTCTTCAACCACATCTATCTGAAAATATCTTCTACTTCTCCGAAAGATGTCTTAAGTTAACTGAACTCTCAAAATCTTTTGAACAAAAAGTGTAACACTCCTCAAATCTTTAAATTGCAATTACTGGTCTTTACAGTATTGTTTACGATAGGTATATGAAAAAATTGAATTTAAGGCATGTAAAAGATGATGACGCCCCCTTTGACCATTTCATATAACAGAATATCCCTATGTTCAATTGAGCGGCATGGCCTAAAGGTTTAGACTATTGCTTAGCATTCGGGAGGACGCAGGTTAGATTCCGGGTCCGTCTGCCTTGGTCCAAGTTTTTGTGGTTTCCTTGGAAATGCTGGGGCAGTAACATTCCACAATATTTCACAGATAATATTTAACACCTGAACCACCANAGCTTCATTAATTTGAGGTAATGTGTAGTGGGTAAAAATTGAGAATATTTCATATTAAAACAAACTCACTTCGGGAAGATTTCTACATTGTATGTATATTATTCAATTATCTCCTTTCACATTGTCTGTACTCCTCATGAAGCATTTGTTAGCTTAACAAGGGCGCGTTCGAAACACAGCAAATGACTACAGGTCCAAGTGGAAAAAGGAAAGAAGATACGTCTATTCTCACATATAATTTGTTGCGGACTTTGTCAATTGTGATCGTCCCAATTATATCTATAATATTGGAAAAAAATCTAAATTCTGGTCAACAAATTTCTTCAAAATTTAAATTAGATACTGGCGTTCGTCTTTAAAACCTCAAAGTATTTCAGTAAAAGATTTTTAACAATATTCTTAACCTAATTTTATTATTAGGTAATGGTAACAGTTGGGTCAAAAAATTTCGGGAACGTAGTAACTCGTTGGTGATGTGTTTCTACGCACCCAGAAGTAAAAAAAGGAACAAAAACAAAAGCTCAATGTGCTTTCCTTCTGTATGACATTTTCTGATTGACTCTTTAGTTATTACGTCACTCAAACAAGCTTTCAGACAGGATTGATAATTGCCTGATGTTTATTTATTGAACTTAGCCTTACCTAAGTTGGACATGATGCTAGTCAACGATTGAAACTCCATTTAGCGATTATTTGTTCTGTTTCACCAATATAACGCTGCTTACAAAATATCAGGTTAGCTGCCTGACCAATCGTTGATATCTCTGGATTTTTTTATTAAATTTATTTCATTTGATCATTAATTTTCATAATATGACAAAAACGTTTCACCTATTGTCAAACGAATTAATAATTTTGATTACTTATGCACTTCATAAAACCAATACATGGATACTGTTTTCTCAAAAGATTCCCTTCGTATTGTCAGATATATCGAATTGTTGTTTGTTTTCTAAAAAAAGCGATTTACAACATAGAAGACCTCAAGAGCGAGTTAAAACAATTGCTTTTTAAAATTATTGATCATTAACAAGTAACAACGTCAGTTAACGCAATACAGTAGATGAATTTACGAGGCGTTTAAGTGTAATTAACATTTTTTTTGTTCTTGTTGATAATAATTTCAGAGTTCTTCGGTTCTTTACGGTCTGACGTCTATAATGCGTAAACTTTTATATGTTGGGGCAAAAACTGAATGCGCGGTACCTTTTATAATGTCTACTGTCTCATTATATCCCAAGAGTGATGTGAATTTCTTGAATGGATGGCTCCGATGGTGTCTAACAAGAAAAAGCCAGCCAGTAGCTGATCCAATAGGTAAGCAGGTATAAGGGGGGACCTTCCGTGGGGCATAACCTCGCATCCGGCATCAGTCGACAACAAACAACCAGCGGGTAGAAACGCGACTGTTGAAAAACGTAAGTGGAGCCGGTATAAACAGAACAAACCATAACACAATTTTTAATCGACTTTTACAGTTTCATTTACAATCAGTGCCATTTTTGGGACTTGTTTGGTTACCCAACCATTCCTGTGGATTTTTCTTAATTTTCCCAACGTGAAAATATTGTTTTTGGTGTGTATGAGCTTTAGAGACGCTTGTCTATAAAGTAAATAACTTCGGACTGGCTTGGATCCGCGAATTTTTTGTTCAATATTTGGTAGACTTGACCTTGACTCTTTCTCGCATTGGACCCTGTTCTGCGATATTTAATTAAGTGACTTCTTCGCTGTTTATTTGCTAAAGTTGTGTGGTGGAACATTTCTTGTGGAACGAAAATAAATACCAAAAGCGGAAAGCGGGTACACCTCGATAACTTTTTTAGTAACTTTATTGGTTTTTCAATGTCCTATATGATTCATCCGGCGTTTATTTAGGATTTTGCCAGTTGCCAAAGATAAACTAAAATTAGTCGAAAAGTAAGTATTTGTGATCATCGAACTTTCATTCTACAGCAAATAATTGCAACGTGTACGTCTTCAGTTTTCTGAGGGGAGGGGGGGGACATTTTGTAAAGGAAACTGGAAAACAAAATCTAATAAGGTCCAAATTCTTAAAATGTATTCTATTACTTACAACTCTAATTTTGTGTAGTAATAAGTACATAATGGCACGTTAGTTAAAGAGTTTGGTCATTACTACAGTGCATTTTTTTATGGTTTTCACTGGTTACAAGTTAATGTCTACTACATAGTTACTCAATTAGTCATTATTGCCAACGATCAGATTAAGTTCATTTTCAATGAATTAATTAGCATAATTATATTCAGCCGTTTCCGTTGACGAGCAGTTCATGAAGTTTATTTAACTCCATCACGAATGAACGGTTACGATCATTCACAGCTCCTACTAAAAAAGCGATCCTTATTTAGGTAAAACAGGAAAAATAAATTGATATGTCACCTACCAAACGCAAAATTATTATGCGTTTGTATTACCGTTAAGTTCCTGATCGTTACTGTACAGATAATCTTGTTGTTCCACTGAAGATTCCAATGAAAGAGGATGTCATTATGCGTGACAAAAACGACGATGAAGTACATGTAGGTGCATATTTAATGAAAAGGAATAACGTATTTACGAAGACAGAGTTAACGTAAATTATTTCCGCTTTCTTTATTCAAGAAATTGTGCAAACCTCTCCATCTGCTGAAGAGCATTATGGTTACGATTGCTATGGTCTGTACAAACCAATCTATAAAGTAAAGGCAACAACAGCACACTAAATTCAAGCCCTTTGGGTTGGTTGAATACGTATATATATGATATCGGAACTCATTGTCAGTGTGAAATCACTTTATAATTAAAAACAACCCTATCATCGCAAGAAGAATATTTTGCCCATCAAATTTTCGTTAAAAATGACTTCGACCTGCACCAACCTAATTATGGATTAATCGCCTTAATCTCTTAAGTACGGTGAACTTAATTCATAACTGACATTTGCCATGAGGTAATAAGAGGCAGCAAGGAAGATGGGATGATTTCCTTTTGTTAATTCGATCACTAGCGGGCTGAATTTTCGTGAATGGTTTTGTTCCCGAGTCCCCCAACTTTTCTTTCTATCAAAATTTTTGATAGAGGTATACAAACTGGAACGCATTCTCTAAGCATGTTCATCTGGCGATTTTTTAATTTTAGTTAAATCTTATAAAACAATAGGGAAATGCTCTTGTCCTGAATATGTGATGGGTTGGACCAGCTTCTCAAAATCGCTAGATAAGCATGCTTAGTGGATATGTCTCTCACTTCTATCAAAAATATGACAGAGGGAAAACTGGGCAGACTTATCAAAACTCAAAACGAGTGATCGCCTTTAGAAAGGGGCGCTGTATCTAGGACTCATCTCTCGATAGTGCTACCATATAGACTTAAGATTCACTTACAAAAAAATATCTGTCAGTGTCACTTTCAAAAATCTGTGCAAAAGTTAGTTAAACTAATGTATTTGTTCTAGATCAACGAATAAACAGTAGATTATTAATAATAAAGAACACGTACTATATCTGCAGTCTTTAATAACTCAATTCTCGTGCCTTCTGAAAGCTGACCTCAGTTTTCTCACTTTATATTTAATTTATAATTTTATCTAATAAACTTTTGTAAAATCTCCCTCTCTCCTATTGAGTGCTACCGCGATATAAAACTGTAGACGCATGATTACTTTCAAGTTTGATACTGTAAGAGGGAATAACTTGAATGTCATGGAAAGCTCTAACCCCTATGACCATTAAAAATGGTATTCATTTAGGGAATTGTATAGGTTGCACATAATTCATTACTGTCGTTGGGCAGTAACATCTGTAACGTTCGAATTTTATCTCATCATTATTTGCTGCACGTCCACGCACGCTGTAATATTTCTCAGTAATTCATAACCTTTCAAACAATTCAAATTTAATTTTGAGGATACAAAAGCTTTCTCAGTATCATGTATAACGAAAATTAATAAAATTTTTTTTAGGATCATATTAAATTCTTTTTTGCTCGGGAATATCAGAAAACGTTTATTCTATAATAACTCCTTTATCGATATACATATTAGCTGCTTGTTTTTTCATAAAAACACGCTAGAGTATTCATCTTAAATTGGATACTAACTCAAGCTTGACATTATTGTGCGATTTATGTAATTAAATGGAAAATTAGTTTCCGAAAATAGATGTACACAAATATATAAATTATTTAGTTCTTGAAAGTAATTATCTTTGTTTTCTTTCCAGGTCTAATTTCACGAAGCGAGTTAAGATATAATGTTGTATTCAACGTTTTAAAGACAGTTTAGTTTTCGTGAGTGACGAAACACACAATTCCATCATGGAACGACATTTAACTTTGTTGTTATTATTAACACTGTCATATTCGTGTGGTTGCCTTAGTTCGAGAGATCTGCTGGATCAATACGTGGCTCATATAGAAGAAATCAATAACGTTTACACACACGATAGCCAAAGACATTTGAACTTAGATTTTCAAGACCATTCAGCAATAAACAACCATGAAGCATCTAAGCATAAATTAGATTCCTTTCGTCAGAACGATGACAGGGTGAAAAGGGATGCGTTTTCGTACGATTTCAATCAATGGACCCATTCAGCAGTTTTGGACAAAAATGGAAAAGTATTACTGAGGTGGCAGCCTCGTCATCAGGAAATTTCCTTCAGAATTGAGGCGGCGACGAGGGGTTACATTGGATTGGGGTTCAGCCCCAACGGCGGCATGGAGGGTGCTGATATCGTGCTCGGGTGGATCGACGATAACACCGGCAAAGCATATTTACTCGTAAGTGAAGTTTTTGTTGGGAGGGATAATCGGGAAAAGAGGGAATTCTTTCGGGTTTATAATTAAGGAAATAAAAACCCGGGCAAGTATGACTTTGACTGATGCCCCAGGGATTTTACTGCGTTTACTAAAGCAAGAAAAAAATATGGAAATCTTCTATTTAGGGCTCGCCCTTCGTAAACCACAAAAAGCCGAAATCAGCCATGTGCTAGACAAAAGTATGAATTTAGAAGGTTACTTAGAAAGGATCAGTTCCAAAATTGAACCGCGATTATTACTGCAATCCTTTGAAGCAATTATTAGGTATTATTAAGATTAAATCCTTAGCCAGTAACATTTCACATAATTAACGAGGCATATTTCTAACTAAGTAGCTATACAAATATATATATAAAACTGTAAACTACGATATGGGCTTCCCAGTTTGCAATCTTGAAGTGAATAACTTCTTTAGATGCCCATTTATTTGGAGGTGCTTTAAAACTTTTTTTTATAATCATAATTGCGTCTGTACCATTGAAGTTGAAAAAATTGAATCATCTGTCCCTAAATTATGGTGCATTGTTTCAAGTTGAAAATTTTGTTAATCGTAAATTTTGAAGTACTTTTTGAGACGTGTGCACGTTTGAAATTGCTTTCTTTACGCGCTAAATAATAGTGAATGAAGTTCGCTTATAAGGATTCGATGAAGAGGGGAACTGAATATAGTAAGCAATCAAGAAGGTAAACGGCTGGTAGAAACCTGTTGTGGCGCGAGTAGCACCGGAACCAGACGGCATTTAAATGTGTTCGACATCCGGTCCGCGGTCATGCTCCGGCTCAAGGGGTTTAACAAGAAGGAGGAAGTAAAAAAAATGGCATATTGGAGCGGACTAGTCATGAATTCGTTCAAAAAACGCCATTCGGTTAAACCAGTTATTCAAAATAGTTTCGTAAAACACGTTTTAAATCATGAGTCGATTAGATTCTGTAATTTTATTCTGTTATTGATTTGGTTATTTTCTTCTTAAATGAAATTTTAAACACATCTGCAACCCTTATATTATATATACATACAAATTGTTTATATTAGAAATAAAAAGGCCTTACATAGGGTGCTTCCTAGAAAACAGAACCTACTATAAGCAGTAAATTATTATTAGTTAATGTAATTCAGAGAGCATAAGATCATGAATCTAAAAAAAGGGTTAATTAGTACTGGGAAGCACATGCGTTATTAGAATAAAGGGTGTTACAAAGTCCTTTGGATGAATTTTAGGGTATTATCCAGTATTTCAAATTGAACCATTTTCATATTACAATATTTGGGCTGACGATCTTATGATGATAAGCAAAAATCCACATGGAAGTAACTGGAATTAATTTTAATTCGATACCTCTGAGGAAAAGCATCTTGATGGACAGACACAGTGATCCTGTAAGGATTTCGTTTCTTCATTGCGCAGTACGGATCCCTGCAAATAAATTAAATTTTAACATTCCATTTTTCATTAATCACTCTTACAACGATAAATCTCAGAACCTTCTTCCATTTTGTTTTCTTTTGCTGTTGACGTTTTCAAACACATAAAAATGTTTTTTCACAATCAAACACCTAAAGGTATATATATTTACATTTCAGTTTATTTAGGGTTTAAAACAGTTAAAAAGACGCAAGTTTAAACCTTCACCCTAACTGTAAATAATATTGATGAAAAAGTCAGGCTTCCTGTAAATAAATCTTATACGGGAGAAAAATGATCCATTTCATAAGCAGTTTGTCCACTGCGTTGTAAATGTATACGTTGACAACGATCCTTTCTAGCTCACGACGTATCACGTGCGATCGAAGATTATAATGAAATTTTACCCTCTCGTTTATAGACATGAAAACTCGTTGGTATAAGTAACCACGTGTTTCCGGTTTTTAATAAACTCTGAGTATTGCTCTCTTTTTAATCTGTACATTAAAAGTAAACATCATTAAAGACAGGACAACTTTAGGAATAGATATACAGGGGAAAAAGATTAGTACGCTTAGATTTGCTGATGATATGGCAGTATTACTATCTAGCAAGGAGGAGTTAGAGATATCCTTAAATAAAATGGAAGCGATATTGGAAAAACAGTATTGTACGAAAATAAATAGAAGTACTGGATCCAAGGGAAGAAATAGTAGGGAAAGAGCGAATATAAAGATAGGAGACGAAATAGCGGTAGAGACATATAACAAAGGATAGTGTAGGGTCGAGTTGCCTTCAACAAAAATAAGTCACTTTTATGCTCGCGAACGGTTAATATAGAAAATATTGTTAAAGGTGTATGTCTGGAACGCGGCGCTGTATGGGTTCGAAATGTGGCCTTACAGGCGAATGATGAGGATATCGTGAATAGAGAAGGTTAGCAATGAAGCGGTATTACAAAGAATAGGACAACAGAGGACTCTATGGAAGTCAATAAGAAATAGACCAGGCAGGTTGCAAGGACCCTTCTCAGGCATAAAGGTCTAGTAAGGCATATATTAGCAATAGAAGCAGGAGTTAAAAGGAGTAGAGGTAGACAGACCTAGATTAGATAACTGTTCTGAAATAGTTAAGGATGTGGGATGTTCCAGTTTTTAGGAAATGCAAAGATTAGTTCATGATAGGAAAAAATGGAGTTCCGTATCCAAGCAGTGTTAGGACTAACGACCTTATGATGATGGTGATTATGATTGTTCTCTTGATTGCAGCTTATGATTGCACTGTTTCGTCACATAATCAGTAACCATCATCTATTAGTCCTTGTGCTATTACCTTCTTTATTAAGGGGTGGTTCTAGTTAGCTCCACACGAAACACTTTTTAATAATCTACAATCTGTTTGTTATCATGCGATATACAGGGCTTTCCACAGAGTATTCGAGGGTCTATCTTTCTGGCCACGAAATCGGCATTTTATATGGTTCCCGCCATTTGATACTTAATTTTCTTAGCCAATCAATTTGAAATCCACATTATATCTCAGCCAATCATTTTACACATAATGGTTAAATCCCATGACGCTCTAAAGAACATTCTAGAGAAGCTCCAGAATGTTGACACTACGATGTTTAATAATTGAATAATAATTATATTGATGTAATCATATATTCAATTGAAGCACTGACAAAGTCTTGCTGACATTTATCACTGGATTACTTACGTGACAATTGTCTCCCTATAATTCCTTTGACATCTTCAGGCCCGAAATGTGGCATGACAATTATAATGTTGTTATTATTTGATAATATGTATTAAATTATTAAACATATCCGTTATTTTTTTAAATCTACTGCTTTTTTTCTTTATTTCAATTTCTGAGTTACCCTGTTGTAATTTTAAATTATTATCAACTATAGATGATTTATTTTATTAGATATAAGAGGAAAATTAACTAAACTTTTACAAAAGTACTTCAAAATCAACGCATCAATCATTGGATATTTATGTAGCGGAAATTAGAGAGAAGCGTTTTAATGAATAAGTCAATGTTACAGGAAACTTTTCGTGATAAACCTGAGGGAGTTTGTGTAACAAAGCTTTTAGCAAAGTTTTTTCCGTTAATTGTACATATACTTTCTCAGGTACTAATCATGTTATTTACAGCATGTAAAATTAACGAACGGACTTCTACACTAAAATTTTTTTTACGCATTTTTGGCCAACAATAATTGAACTTTTCGTTTTGCGCTTTTGTTTTGGGTTAATCCCTTCGTATATATTGGAAAAACTTATTCTTTAACCTTCGTGGTGTCAAAGTCAACAGAGGCAGATGTTAATTAAAAAGTACGTAAAGTCGTTAATAAAAAACTTCTGACAGAGTCTGATCTCGTAATTGTTAGGGGTCACGTCGACCACCGTCGCGCTTCTGATGCAAGATCTACTATAATAGATATTTATAAATGCGATGAACTGTGTGGCTTTTCTACAATGGGAGCGTCCCGTTCTTTTAACTTCTTACAAACTTAATGATCCTAATGAGGAAGTTGGTAGTTGCTCATAAGATTGCAGTAATTATGAGATAAATTGATGACGAGAGTATACGAGTCCATAATTAAATGCTGTTGTACAATAGTAGTGTTAACTAACGCACCTAATACTTATTTACATACAATGGCGGTGCAATCTTGTTTTCTGCTAAAATAGTACGTTCCGTGTTGGGTATTCCCCCTCCTAAAGACGCAGATGTGGAAAGGATGTATTAGAAATCAGAGAATAGTATATTTTATGTTAAAAATTTATAATTATTGTAATTATTAGGTACTATTTATGCTCTATGTCTGTTATTCCGGAAATTCGAAAACTATTATTAAAGGTGCTTGTCTGGAACACGTGAACGGTGGGCACTGCGAAATAAAATGGTCTCAGATGTGGTATTATACGAAGATGGTACAAATACCATTTATAGAAAAGGTTAAAAATGTGGAGGTATTACATAGAAAGGTTAGGAGAACAGAGAATATTAAGGAAGTCAATAAGAAGTAGGTGAGATAGGTTGGCAAGACACCTTCTCAGACATGAAGGGCTAGTTATTAAAGACATATGATAAATACAAACAGGAGTTAGAAGTAGATTTGGATTAGAATACTGTTAGCAAGCAGTTAAAGATATACCTAGGTTGCTCTAGAATAGCTGAAGATATCAGTCTTCGGGCTGAAAACCTTATGATGCGAAGATGATAATCAATGATGAAGAGCTTCTGGGCTTTTATGCCGTGGTCGAATTCTGATTGCAGACGTTTCGTCATTCAGCCGCCGATCATACATCGTGAAGCACTGAAGATGCCATGTATTAAGCATGGCGAAATGTCTGCAATCAGAATTTGACCACGGCAGAAATGCCCTCAAACTCTTCATCATCGATTAGACACCGGTCGTGAAAGCCTATGAACTATTAAAGACGATGATGATGATGAGTCCCAATTTCAAATCATATTGCAAAATACAATTTCACTTGCCACTTATCTAAAGTCATGTAGTTGTCGCATAAGGTTGAATGTCTACAACTTTGTCATATAGTTGTTCACTATAGTTGGGACGTTGAAAATTGGCATAGTCCGCAATAAAACTGTCGCATTTTTTCTTTCTTCTTTGAACTTACTAGCTAGACCAGAGCGGTTGCTGACAGAACGCCTACTTTTACTCACGACAGACGGTGTAGGGAATATCGTAAACATAGAAAAGAGATGCCAGGTAGGAATTGCAGCAGACACTAATAAAGAAAAAGGAATAACGTTACACTGATTAATATGTAACAGAAAGAGATGCAGACAAGGAGAATTTGAGCATGTTGTCAGTATCGAACTGAAGAAAGTTTAACATTCTCAGGAATTTGGAAACGTAAAGACACTTGTTTGAAGACATAATTACAACTTGACAGTTATAAAACCGACCCTGATATTTTGTGTACCTAAGCAACCTCTAAATCCTGCACCACGTATATTATTATTCAGTGATGTCATTTCACTTTGTGTATACTTCTTATGAACCTTTTGGTAATATAAGGATGTTTGGGAGGTATGTCAGAATGTTACGAGACAAATAAAAATTTGGAAGAACGTTCCTCATTCAATTCTAAAACTCCTGTAAAAATTACAAATCGATTCACTAAACCGTTAAAAAGTTATTGAAATTTTAAAAAATTGTAATTTTACACGTCATTTTATGGAGATTCGTTAACCGAACAGATTAAATTTATTTTTATTAACAGAAAAAAAGCTACCAGAAATTTCAAACTTTTATAATAAGTAACTTGAACTCTGGAGAATCACTTTAGCGTAAGGTTATTCAAATTCACTAAATGGTTATCGAGGAAAAAATGAAAAATTATCTGAAAATCTCGTTTTTACTTGATAATATAATGATAATATTTATAATTGTCTGAAATAAATGCAATTTTAAAGTTTTAATTATTATTTAAACATATTAAAAAGTTTTACGCTCATTATTAATAGAGATTGAAACTAAATATTTTTTTGTTTCGAAGTTGAAATCAAGGCATATTCACTGCCAAAAGTCAGTTAAAAATTTTCCATATTATTCGTTATTTCCTATTTTATTCAAAGTTTTTGGTCAAATTCCAAATTTTCTCTCAAACCGTATACTTTTTTTTAGTATAGATAGTATTTATTTACCTCATGATATGCTGCAAAACCTAATTAATCACGAATTTCTAATTTTCTGTACTCTTGTCTCCGATTGTACCTCCCAAACATCCTTAACAAGAGTGTATTCAAAACGCACTAAATGACTACAGTCCCAAGTGGAAGCAAGAAAGAATATATATCCATTCTTACAGATAATTTATTGCGGACTTTGCCAATTTTGATCGTTCTGACGATAGCGTCATTACTTTCGTGTCATTCCTCGTTTGAATTCTTTTGATTTCCTAAAGATTGAGGAGAGAGCATGGATGAGTAAAGATTGGCAAAAAAATAACTAAGATAGATATTACATAATTACATTCCTGTATTTTTTCCTGCTCTACACTTACTGTGCCCAACTGTTAACCGATTTTATATAAGTTGCTTTAATAAATTTATTAGTTATTTGAGGTTCGCTATATGGTAGTGCAATGTATGGATTTAATTTTGCAGAAAATACATCAATATTATGAATGAGACCACAATTTTTATTTGTGACTGCCCACACTTCTTTGTTTGAATTTCCGAAGTTTTTTAACCGCAAGGGTACACTTGACTTGTTTTGAGCAACTTTCAAAGAGAAAGAAAAGATTTAAAACTTTCGTATTGTATTGAAAAGATTTAATACTAAACATAAAAGAAGTAATCATTGAGATGAAAGGTTTTTTATGTGGATACAACTTTATTACTCGGACATTACCATAACTGTACCTATGTAGGATAATAAAAAATGCGATATTAACTGTAGGGATTATGTATATATTAGTTGTTTATGTTAATAGCTGTATATTAGCAAATTATTGGAAAATGATCGGCAACGTTATGACCAGAAATTCCATAACGTTCTCACCTTTTAATGATTACAGGACCTTCTTACAATGGCACACGTAAGTACGTTTATCGTATTCATTACCATCATAAGGTCGTCACCCCTAAAACTGGTTGGACACGCACCTCCATTCTTTCCTATCCTGCGCTAATCTTCGCATTTCCCTAAAACTATAACATCACACATCCTTAACTATTTGCAAATGTTTATCTAATCTAGGTCTATCTCTACCCCTCTTAACTTCCGTTTCTGCCCCTAATATGTCCCTGACTAGACCTTCATGCCTGAGAAGGTGTCCCACTAACCTAACTCGCCTATTTCTTATTGACTTCCATAGAGTCCTCTATTCTCCTGTTCTTTCTGATACCTCTTCATTTTTAACCTTCTCTATCCACGATATCCTCATCATTCGCCTGTAATACCACATTTCGAACGCTTCTAACCTTTTCTTTTCCGCAGCGCCCACCGTCCATGGTTCGCACCCGTACAGCGCCGCGCTCCAAACATATACCTTTAACAATCTTTTTCAAATTTCTAAATTAATCGTTCGCGAGCATATAAGTGACTTCTTTTTATTGAAGACGACTCGACCCTGCGCTATCCTCTGTTTACATCCCTACTACTTCTTCGGTTCTGACTTATTTGACATCCTGGATACCTAAAATCGGTCACTTCTTTTAATTCTTTGTCTTCGTTATCCAATTATTTTCCATGACATTGAATAGACTATCAACGTGTCGTAAACTGTTTTAATGAATTCAGGTGTTTAACGCCAAAAGTTTCTATTATATGCTAACGTCCGAATGTAAACTATATTTTTTAAATTAATGAAATGACCTAGATATAACATCACTATATTACTGATATGTGAAGACTTATCAAAACTTTTATTGCTGTTGTGTTACCGAAATGGAAAGTATGGGTTTTAGAAGCTTATTTGATTATATTTTTTAGGAAGTAGTGATTACGATAGGTGCCACATATTTGTACAATAAGGCAGATGTGTAAAATGTAAATCCTTGATGTAATGTTTCCCTTAGCAGCTGTCTGAAATGCAGCCTGATTTGGTAGCAGCTGCCCAATATAAATTTATCCTTGTTGATTCCATGTATTTACTGTATATAAACTTTGAATAAGCGTTACTATGATAATAAGAGGGATTTAGTTCCGTTTTGTAGAAAAAAGAGAGTAACTTTTTAATGAGTATGTACTTCACAAAACCTTGTGTACTTTCATTTTTATTATTTTTATACATATATAGGATTCAATTGGAATAATTTTGTATAAGATAATGTTTACACAGGCTTGTTTAACGACCTGGGAAATTTGACTTGAGGCACAACATAAGTAGCAATATAATACCTCATTATTCTGCTCACATAAAATGTTTTCTAAGAGTAAACCGTTTTTCTTTTGTTTCTTGGAAAATAAAAATAAGACTTCATTATTTTAACTTTATTCAGATAAAATACGCCAGACGTTGGTTTACAAAAATACCCCTCATATTAATATCAAAAACACGGGTAAAGCACCCACACTAAGAAGAACAATTTGCATTATTTTTACTGACGCTTCTAGTTCTTGTCGTAATCCACAAAATCTGGAATCAATTATTCTTTCCTTCTCACTATGTATCTTTCGTAAATTCTATTTTTCAGGATTGTCACGCCGGTCCAAGGAGTCAGGGTAGTGCTCCAATCCGCGACGAAATCTCAAATTATAGACTTTTAAGTGGTTCTCATAATGACACTCACACCATGCTAGAATTCAGAAGAGCCCTTGATACTTGTGATCCAGATGACTTTGTCTTAGGAGTAAGTTTGCAAAAAGCATAATAGAAACCCTAGACCAAAATTTTAAGTCCCTCTCCAGTCTCTCAGAGTCTATCAGAGTCTTTCAGCGTATCTGAGAGCGTCTCTCACAGTCTTTCACAGTCTCTCAGTTATTGCCTAGGTGTTTTTATGGATCTGTCACAGTCTCTGTATGGGAGACTCGAACGATTAATTCAAAGATTCGAGTCTCTCACAGAGAGACTGAATGAATAAAACTGAAAAATTAAGAGACTCGATTCTCTCATAGAAAGACTGGGATCTCTGAAATATGTTGAACTTAGAAAATTTTAACCATGTCTATCGAGACATCACTTATTGAGAGATCCGAGTCTCTCGTTCAGAGATTCGAGTCTCTCGTTCAGAGACTGGATACGAAATGAGGATCTCTGTATGAGCGACACGAGTCTCTCGTTCAGAGACGCTAAACAGTTTTTTGACAGTCTCTCGACAGTCTCGACTGAACATTTTTATCTCGGGAACATAGTTTGTAACTGAAGTCGTCACTTTTTCCAGTCAGATACTGTGAAAGTCATCTGGGCTCTTCACGACATAGATCCGTCTCTCGGAGCTGAAATGGTGTATCATGGTAGTAATAGAGGAAGTCAAAGCGTCCATCTCATTGGGCCTCCTCAAATACCAAAACAAATTAGTCAAACTCGAAATTGGGATGTCACCCTAAAGAATGTAAGTTTTTATCAAGGTTGAGACGTCGCGAACTTTAAGGTATATTTATGTTGACTTTTTGCGCAGTTCGAAGTCAAAGAGGAAACAACCTATTGGTGTAAAGTCTTCAAAGCACCAGTCCTGCAGCAAAAACATCATGTGGTCAGTTTCGAACCGTTGATAGGACCAAATCACACCCAGCACGTTCATCATATGCTACTTCATGAATGTGTTATAGACTATACCATACCTAGTATAGAGAAATGGGAAAAATTTGCTACCGAAATTGGAAGACCTTGCTATGCCAACGAAATGCCACCAGAATGGGAAAGATGCTTGACTCCGTTGGTAGCGTGGGCAGTTGGATCAAATGGTACAAATCTGTTTGGATGCTAATAGCTTATATATATTATCGACTTCGTATTTTAGGCGAAACTCTTCCCGAACACGTTGGATTACCTCTGTCGCCACGAACACCATCGTTTTATATGCTCGAGGTGCATTTTGACAACCCATCAATGAAGAAGTCGGTAGACACGTCCGGATTGAGACTACAATATACTAATAAACTTAGACCAAACGAAGGTGGTGTTATGGTAACTGGGATTACAATTTCTCCTCTGCATTTCATCCCACCTCTTCAAAACGAATATAAATCTGCTGGTTATTGTAGCGTGGACTGCACAAGAGAGGTGGTCAAAACTTTAGAGTACTATTCGTACTTGATCAACGAAACTAACTACCAATAATTGAATTTCAGGTGATGCCCAAAGCTGGTATAAATGTCGTTTCAGTTCTTCTACATTCTCATTTGGCTGGCAGAAAATTAAAGTTGAGACATATACGTGGCGGGAAGGAACTGCCACCAATAGTACAGGTGGATATGACTATCGACTAATGAATCGTATCAAATTATGTAAATTATAATTTTGTTGCAGGATGACCATTACGATTTCAACTATCAACAATCGCGAGCATTGTCCCATGAAGTAACAATTCTACCAGGCGATGGGTTAGTAACCGAATGTACTTATTCCACATTAGACAGGAAGAAACCCACTTTAGGTGGTTATTCCACAAGGGAAGAAATGTGTTTGGCTTTCGTTCTGCATTATCCAAGAACACAATTAGCTGGATGCTATTCCATGCCTCCAATCAGATATTTCTTCAAGAATCTAGGAGTCAACGAATTTTACAATATGAACATGACCGAGATCGAAGGGATGTTCCTTCACGGATTGTGAGTTAATCATATCAGAATTGTTTCGATCTCTTATCGCACCTATTTTGTTTGTCTTCAAGGCCCGATTCGACTGCTGCTCCATTAACTTCATCGACATCATTATTTCCGCCTTATAAAGCTGGCGACGAGAACTCGATCGAAGCAAATCAAAAGGCAATATTAGCTTTGCAAAATGCAAAAGAATTTACGGAAGGAGAATCGGCTGCTGGCTTCGGGCCTTTCGATAATTTAATCATCAAAGCACCAAACGAGTTCAAAAATAAAAGCTTTATGTCCCATTTAAGAAACATTCCCTTCAATGAAACATTGCTTACAAAACGCATCGAGGAATATTTTTATACAGGTCTGCATCTGACATTTTGTAGAAGAAGGAACGATACTTTGGCCTTGGTAAGTGCTACTTTCAAAGTTATTTTTACTTCTGAAATTCCCTTTTGAAAACCCTTATACGCTTTCCAATTCTTTAGATATCATCAGTTCTGCCTTTTTTATCGTTTTTGGTTTGATTTTATCGTTTCTCAGACCGTTTTAGCGCCTGGATCTACTAAATGGCCAAAAAGTTAAGTAAAAAACGTTGCGATCTCCGCAATACAATATGTTACGTAATTTGACGTTTATCACAGTTTCGCATCGGCTCAAATCTCCATCTTGTTTATTGAACACATTGCATTTTTCCATATTTCTGAACGCGACTTCTCTAGGGGCTATGCAGTAGACCTTATACACCAGACTGGTCAAAAATACAATCGTATGTCCTAAAGTCAATTTAATATGATTTATATAAATTTTTGGCCAGCTAAATTACTTGACTGTATGTTTCATGATGAGTAGTTCAATTTTGACGTATTTTGACTATTATGAGTGTGTTTAATAGCTATCACATGCTACGATATTGTTGGTTCAAATAGTTTAACTGACTTGGGTTACACCTTTATTGTCTTTACGGGCTTGTGATGATTTTTATTATAGTTGATTCATTGAATGAAACGTTATCGCTATTATTGACTTATGTAATTTCTAAGTGAAATAGAAGGCCAGAATTTTAGAAATAACTACAGCTATAAAATAGGAACAATCCAAAAGATTTCGGAATTCCCACTCTCAACGACGCACCTACGATAAAGTTGAAACCTAGGTCAGTTAAATTATTTAAATAAACCATTTTGCGTCTGTCGCCAATTGTAATATCTACCTGACGAATATGCTTAGGACCAGGAAAGTAGTATCAGAGTTACTTGCTCTATTAAATTATATCTATAACTTCTGCACGCTTGGACATTTAGGTTACGTTGGCAGTATTGCAATAGTTGAGGTCAACTTCAAGAAGGGTATCCTAAGCAGCACTTTTAGTTTTGGGGGGATTCCATTTCGGGTTTTCTAGTCTGTTAAAAAGGAAATACTACAAATGGCGCAGTAAACGCCATCTGTAGTACGATGCTTAAATGGACCTTGTTGAAGCATACGTAATCCTAAAATGTAGCATCGTGTTACAGATGGCGTTTACCGCGCCATTTGTAGTATTTTCTAAAACGCGCTGTTAAGGCAGCAGGTAAAGGTTGGTCTGTGTAGTGTCGGAGCTGCCTGCGACGCGCTGATGAGATCCAAAAAGATCGAAATCGCGATCCGCGTCTGGCAGTTTCGACAGAATACAGACCACTTCGAATTATTGTATTCGGTTAAAAAGGATCTCAACTTTGCGAGAAACTTGATTTCCATAGTATTCTCTGTGAAGTCTCTTATTTCATTAGTTATTTGCCGAATTCGTTTCGATTTGAAAACGAAATTTTTCGAATTTCATAAATGTAGAAACTTCTGGCATTTGTTTGTAATAGCCGCTAAGCCTTTTTCCTTTTTTCTATGGTGCGATGAAGGATAATTAATCTTAGTATATTTTAAGTAATTTGAATTCACACTGGTTAAATTTTCTTGCAGCCCGAGAAAGTTGAAACGTTTCCTAATTTTACTGCCTACGAAGATGACCTCACAAATAAAATACTTTGCAGCTACAGAACGAAACTGACAGGCGAAAAAATCAATGCCGCCACTACAATAAAATTGCACCCCATGTTTCTTTTGTTTTGTCTAGTCCAAATTTTGCGCCATCTTGAACGGATTTGAATACAAAAAATAAACAAATAATAGATTATACCCTTATACACCTAAACCAAAGATAAACTCAAAATTATTGCCAAACCATTTTGAAAACTTCGCTCGAATGTTTTCATCACTTATTAAGTATAATATGTAATATAGGTAAATATTTCAGTCAGTGCCGTACTGTGATATTTTAGTTAAAAAAAGATACTTGGGCGCCTATAAATTCCCAAAATTAAAAACTAATAAATTTTTAACCTTCAATTAGGTACCATCAGAAAAAAATGCTACTAGGAATAGCAACACACTGTTTTAATAATAAAAGTGGTACAACAAAAGATTTGGGGATGCAAATTTATCTCTAAGGTTTTGAAAATCATTTTTGCATTTTATAAGTATATAACATACATACCATTATTTACGTATGTGAAACATAATCACAATAAATCTTGTTCTTGTATGCTAACTATAAACGTAAGCACATTGTTTCGTCAATTTTTCGTGCTTTTTTTGGCTTTTGTTTTTTTTTAAACAAAGAAAAGTAAGCATTAAGTTTAGTTAATTCAATAGGCTTGCGAACTATCGAATTCTTGAATGAGTTTCATTTTCATTGTGTTAGTGGTTATATAAATAGGTACATTTAGTTTTATTTAAGACTGAATGTTAGGTTTTGTACATTTTTTTGTGAATATTTTTTGTTAATTTGATAGTAGGTATTTATTTTTTTTCCATGCTGTGACTTAGGTTTTAAGTATCTACCTTTTGATAATTGTATTCGTAAGTACACTTTTGTAATCAAATAGTAGAAATAGGTTTTAATAATAAAACACATGAAAATGTAAAAGGAAACTTTTTTTGGTAATAAACAATTTTCATGCTGTAAAAGGTAAGTAGCTACATAATTTTATCGCAACCAAATCTTATAGGGGATGTCTCTGCCGAATGACTATCTAGTCTGGTTTGAATTTCTATGTAGGACCTTTAGATTTTGATCAGTCTTAATAAATTTTAGATAGGATCGTAATCAAGTTATCAAAACGATATCAAAATATTAATTTCGTTAAAACATTCTTTTCTGTATGCATTAAAACGTTTTCTAATCAATTCCTAGACGAATTACCCAATCATAGATACGCGGATTTAAATAAGCAATATTATTTTTATTTATTTTGATATTACCAATCATTTGTTGTATAAAAAGACATTTTTATAGTTATTCGGAATTTACAATCAGGTAAACAAAAATAGGAATTGGAAATAGATACAAATTTTAAAAGAAAATTGTAGCTAGATCTGTTACCCACTAATCTATCTTTCTAAGAAGTTGTAGACATGTACATAAATATTGTAATCAACGCAAAATCAAAAGACTCTTTTAATAATACATAAAAATAGTATCAAACAGAAAATTTATGTATGTATGTCTGTCTAAATATCTTGAACTTTTGTTAGGTTTGTTTTTTTTCAACAGAGTCTTTTTCTCTGATTTAATAGTTATTCGACAGTAATACTGAAATAAATGTGATAAACAACTTAATATTCGTCATCATTAGAGGTGAAGACAATGTCAGCAGTTACAAGTATGAGCATGCGGTAATGCCCGAACGGCCCGAGCCGGGCAAAAAATGGTCAGTCAGATAACGAACCTAAACGACTTTCTCTAAACAATACCGAACGTTATGGTATTACACGAAAGCAGATATTTTTATTTCAGTTATTATCGGGGTTTTAACGAGTGTGGTGATTTATCGCGAGTGCAATTGGTACCTAAAGGAATTGGGCCTTTTTAACGTTTGAGAACGTGGTGAGTTTTGATACTTTATTCAATTTGTACCTTAGATATGGGTATTTAAAGTGCAGTATGTACACTTTATACATTTGAAAATATCTTCAGGTTGTTCTCAATGCTTAAAAGCTTCTACCATATTCCACTGTTTCTAATAGGTATATCGCAAGCCGCAACTTGTTGGAATGAGTGCGTAGTTACCATTCTGCTAAGATGCAATTCAATAAATAGTTTAGGTTAGGTTAGGTAGTAATTTTAGGTACATTATGGATTGCGTATTATAACCTTAAACTGTTACATAAAGGTATTTCAATTGTTTGTATCAATAATGAAGTAATGGTAAGGCATATTATCTTAGCCCTAATTAGACAGCAGTATAATGTACTTATCAAAGAAGATTTACACCTAAATCTAAACGAAGTGTCATTTGTTCCCATACTATCTACACTTCACCAAAAACTGTACCACCATTATGCGTAAATAAAGTCATATTAGAATTGGTATCCATTGGTACCTTAATCATCACTTTTGTATATGTATATCATATGCAATATTTTAGTCTTCGAAAATTAACATCTAATCAGATAAATGCTGTTGGCATATTCTTCTATCGAATTTTCAAGTAAAGGTATTATTCCTAAAAGGATTTCATTAATTAACTCTTTTATGTTATTGGCCACATACATGACATATATTTATGTGTTAATAATTAATACTTTAACTCATAGCAGACTAATTTAGATTGATTTGTTCCTAGAGCAACTTTTCTTCTTTAATTCGGGCCAAATGTAGGTACCTGCCTGGAACTGTGCGTCAGTATTGCAAAAACTCATTGAGAGTGATGTTCATCGGTTCTAGAGATTTTTAAAAAATGATTTAAAATTCTTGATAAAATTAAAAACTTCTACAATTCTTTGCTTTATGAAATTAGGTTATTGCATTATTGTATTAATAATACTTCCACTGAAGAATTCCATCTACTATGATTTGATCGATTATCACTTTTCGAAACATTGCTTTTCTGTAAAGATGNCTGTGCGTCAGTATTGCAAAAACTCATTGAGAGTGATGTTCATCGGTTCTAGAGATTTTTAAAAAATGATTTAAAATTCTTAAATCGAACAAAATTGATTTTATTTAATTGAAGCCCATTTCTTCGACGTACAAAAACTTATTCAGTTCACTTCACAACTATTAGAATGTATTACTTACGTATCATGTTTTACAAAGTACCTAAGCTTTTCTGACGATGGAGATGCAGGTGGTTTATCTACCATGTGTAGAAAGAACGACGTCGACTATAAATCTTTCATTATCCCCCACAACATAATAAAACACTATTAGATATAGATGGGATACAGGCGGAACTTTTATAACATGCAGGACAAGAGGTTCGAGATCGTATGTTTAAGCGAGTTAGTCAAATTTACGAGTCGGGGAAAATCCCAGAAGATTAAAAACGGAACGTAGTAATAACCTAATAACCATGCCTAAAAAGAGAGGCACGGATAGATGCGAGACATTTAGAACAATTACCTTAACTTCCCATGCGTCAAAAATCTTCACTAGAATTGTACCGAGGAGAATGGAAAAAAGGGTGGAAAAACTATTAGGGAAAGATCAAGTTGGATTTCTAAGAAATAGAGGAACGCGGGAGGTCAGTCTGGCTTTACGGGTAACAAAAGAGAAAACGATAGAAAAAGGAATGAGTGCGTACATAGCATCTGTAGATTGAGAAAATGTTTTTGACAATGTTAAATGGGACAAGACGTTAAATATATTTAAAAATGTAGGGATGAGTTACAGAGATAGAAGAGTGATACTTAGTTTGTATAAAGAACAACAATCAGTTATAGAGCTGGGACTGCGACGTAGAAAAGTAAATATCAGGAAGAGAGTCAGACAGGGATGCACAATATACTCGCTACTTTTTAATCTCTACATTGAAAACGCTATTAACAACATTAAAGACAATACAACTGTAGAGATAGATTTACAGGGGCAAAATATTAGGTTATTAAATAATTAAAAGTAAGTAATGCAAGGGAAGAAGAAGTAGAGAAAGAGTGAATATTAAATTAGGATATGAAAGATTAGAAGAAGTAGCTGATTTTAGGTATCTCGGAAGTCTGATAAGTCAGGAGGAAGGTCTAGTTGATATAGAAAGTAGAGGATAGCTCAGGGTCGAATCGCCTTCAATAAAAAGAAGTCACTTCTAGGCTCCGTAAACGATTAATTTAGAAATTCGAAAAAAAAAATGTTAAAAGTGTATGTTTGGAACGTGGCAAAACATAAACGGTGGCTGCGGCGGAAAAGAAAAGATTAGAAGCGTTCGAAATGTTCTGTTATAGGAGAATGATGAGGATACCGTGGATAGTGATTAGAAATGTAGAGGTATTAGAAAGAATAGGAGAACAGAGGACTTTATGGAAGTCAATAAGAAATAGGCGACATAGATTGGTAGGACACCTTCTCATGCATGAAGGTCTATAGTCAGAAACATATTAGAGGCAGACACAGGTGTTAAGAGTAATAGATTTAGACCTAGGTTAGATTACTGTTCGGAAATAGTTGGAAATGTCGAATGTTCTAGTTTTGGGGAAATGCGAAAATTAGCTCAGGATAGGAAAGAGTGGAGATGCGTGTCCAATCAGTATTAGGACTGACGACCTTATGATGATGATGATGACTTAAGACTTTAATAAAGGAAAAAGTAGTAAGGAAATTTGCAATGAGAGTAATTAAGCGCGTCTTTTAATTATGTAATGAATAAAGAAAATCCCATAGAATATATTTTTAGGTCTTGATTCGTATTTGCTCTTTGCGTTTTTTTAAAAATCTCACAATTTTACGAAAAATGTATACACTTGGGCCATCTGACACTCAATAGCTAAACTAAATTTTTGCTTGAGGCCGAAAGTAACGATTTGCTTTATCAACTGAGACCATTTTCCAGTGTTTAATTTTTATTTTTTTTTATGTAAAATTTAACTAGTTATCATATTATCAAGAAAAATATTATTTTTATTAAAAAGTATTACATTTTATTATAATATTTAATGCATTGAACGTACAATTTACATGTAGACGATTGAATTACTTTAATTAATAATCGGGACTAGACCCACTTGTGGATGGGACGTAACCAATTCTGGAATACACTTCTTGTTTAGGTTTTGGCCCTGGTTGCCACGCTGGGGGTTCGTTATAGGGTTTCGATTGCTTCCCTTGCTCCTTTAAGGATTCCTGTTCCCTCCTCATAGTCTCATACTCTACCACATCGTTTAAAGTTAGCTCGATACTTGTTGGAGGTCTTCGCAACATAATTAGGAATTTTATTGAATTTTTGTTTAAAGTAGTTAAAAAACAAGATGTACGAGTGAAAATTTGATAGGTTATAATACTAAGCTACGTCAAAACATGTCAAGCAAGCTTCTTCTTCTTGTTAGGATGGTTGCAGTTTCACCTACTCATTTAGTCAACAGGGTCGGATTTAGGAAAATTTAATAATAATTCAAAAAAGTTTATGATAATTATAACACCATATTGCATTNAAGGTATCTCTCCTTTTCCATATTGACTTCCATGGAGCCCTCTGTTCTTCTAAATCCATTCACGGCAGTTTTGATACAATATTTTACCATACAACACTACATTTTAAACGTTTGTGACATTTTTGTATCATGCTCCAAACATATACTTTTAATAATCTTTTTTGAATTTAGAAATTGAATACAGCAGAACCTTGATAACTTAAACCTCGATAACGTAATAACCTCTATAAATTCATAAAATTTTGTGTTCCCTTCCTACTTAAAATAAGAACCCTCTATAACTTAAACGAATAATTTGGGCATCGCACCTCAGTAAGCAGTGAAAAGTGGTTTGAATCGGGTGAAAGTCTTCTATGTAAGAGACGAAGAATTGCTGAATTTCCTAATTTAGAAAAATGCTTGTTGTGTAAATGGTTTAGACAGTGTAGAAATAAAAACACTAGTTGAAGACTGTGTCTTAGAACTCCTTTTTACTAGATGTAAATACCACTGAATCATCTTTAAATCCGAACATGATAGTGCTTTGTTAATTAAACCTGTTTTCAATATTATTAATTACAGTTTTGACATATTGATTGTTTTCAAAAAAATAAAAAAAAAAATTATTCCCTGTACAAATGGTACCTTAAAATAAACCAAATTCTCAATAAATATTTTCTTAATATGTTATGAAAGTACCACGAGTTTTGACATATTTGTACTGAGTTATTTTAATATTACAATTTACTCCATTTCACAAAACCATTTTATGTGCATAATGAATTTTACGACTCCCTAGTCCTAGAATGTTAACCATTATGGGCTGGGAAAATTTTTTGAAGGAAAATTGGTTAATTGCCAAGAATGAATTCCTTAACTATAAACAAGATAAATATGGTAAATAATTCGTGAATCTTATTTAAAAATAACTTATGAAGTGTATCACTAATAACAGAACACTAGACCCACTTGTGGATGGGACGTAACCAATTCTGGAATACACTTCTTGTTTAGGTTTTGGCCCTGGTTGCCACGCTGGGGGTTCGTTATAGGGTTTCGATTGCTTCCCTTGCTCCTTTAAGGATTCCTGTTCCCTCCTCATAGTCTCATACTCTACCACATCGTTTAAAGTTAGCTCGATACTTGTTGGAGGTCTTCGCAACATAATTAGGAATTTTATTGAATTTTTGTTTAAAGTAGTTAAAAAACAAGATGTACGAGTGAAAATTTGATAGGTTATAATACTAAGCTACGTCAAAACATGTCAAGCAAGCTTCTTCTTCTTGTTAGGATGGTTGCAGTTTCACCTACTCATTTAGTCAACAGGGTCGGATTTAGGAAAATTTAATAATAATTCAAAAAAGTTTATGATAATTATAACACCATATTGCATTTTCTGATTATAATGCGGTTATCTATTAAACTGTTTTAAATCANGAAAGGAATATAAAAAATAGATAACTTACCTTTTCTCAATAAATAAATAAATATCACCATTTTCTACAGACAAATTAATAAAAAAAGACAAACATTTATAAAGGGTTTATTCTCTCTTGAATAAAAAATTGACATGCACAGAGGTCTAAAAACTATTATATACAACTTGTTTCAACACTTAACACTAAAAATTGTACAAAAATAACATAGGTAGGCACAACCAGTAATGTTGCGCAGGATTTATAGTAAAAATAAACAAAAAAAAATTGTTTATCTGGGCACATGTACAGTACAGAACAGTACGAACACTATTACATTAAAATAGCAGTAAAAAATGATTTCTTCACAAGGCAGTGACCTAGTAAAAGATTTAATTGCATGATGTACCCCAGGAAGAAACAATCTAAAAGAGACCAAAATATTTTTGGCAAGACAATGGTACCTGGTACCTATCACTATTTCGGTTTTAAAAACAAATGTATACGATTCTAAATAAGTCTTAAAAACGATTAAAATAAACTACAGTTGAAAGCACTACATGCTGTTTTGTCGTGACACAATAACCCATCCATCGGACTGTCGCCTTCCTGCATTTGAATTCAGTTGTTCTTTTTGCCTTTGCAAACTCTCCCTGAGCAAAATTAGCGACTCTTTTTCGCTCTGGAGTTGTTCTATCGTCTGCCTACGCCTTTGTTGCTCCAAACTCTGAGCTTCTTGTAACTTAGCCTTTCGTTGTTCTAAGTACGCTAATTCAGTCTGTACCTGTATTAAAACGTACAATAATATCAATTTGGATAAGTTTGATTCACAAATCCAAATACGAGGGTGGATTGATAAGTTTCCGGCCTAACCAAGAGATGACGCCACTAGGCCTACCTTGAGGTGACATTCTATAGTACCATCCTTGGATAGCTTGTAGCTATAGTTTCAGCCCGATCTCCTTGCTAGTGTAGGTTTGACAGCACGCTGAACAAGACGCCTCTGTGGTTTTCGTAAAAATGGAAAAGCAGGAAAATCGTNAATGAATTTTACGACTCCCTAGTCCTAGAATGTTAACCATTATGGGCTGGGAAAATTTTTTGAAGGAAAATTGGTTAATTGCCAAGAATGAATTCCTTAACTATAAACAAGATAAATATGGTAAATAATTCGTGAATCTTATTTAAAAATAACTTATGAAGTGTATCACTAATAACAGAACATCATTTTTTGTCAAAAAAAAAATTATAATATTTCAATAAGATGGTAAAGGAAGGATCCTTATGCTTAGATTCTTAAGAATCGCCAAGAAAGATGATCATGAATCACTTTTTACAAAATTATCCACACTTTATAACAAGTCCGGCATGTTTTTGAAAGTTTGTCACGATAATGAATTCATTTCAAAATAATAGAAACAGATGTATTTTACGACATTGTAAATTTAAGGTCGTTACCATTTCCGAGAAAAATCCATTTAATTAAGTATAAATACACACGCGTTATGTGCCTGGTCAACAGTTATTTCTTTGTTCTACTAAATTGCATAAAAAAAATTTACTATCAATAAAATTGAACAGTAAATAATTTCAGTCAAAAACTGCGTTTAATCACTGTAAATTTTCTGTTAAAATTTTTTGTTCGAATTACAGAATAATTCGAGTATATTTTTTTATAAAAATTCGAAACCGGTTAAAACCCGTTTTCTGGAAAAATTACTATTCGAAAACCGGTTTTCTAAGAAGAAGTGAAGAGGTATTAGAAAGAATAGGAGAACAGAGGACTCTACGGAAGTCAATAAGAAATAGGCGAGATAGGTTAGTAGGGCACCTTCTCAGGCATGAAGGTCTAGCCAGAGACATATTAGAGACAGAAACAGGAGTTAAGAGGGGTAGAGGTACACCTAGATTAGATTACTGTTCGCAAGCAGTTAAGGATGTGGGGTGTTCTAATTTTAGGGAAATGCGATGATTAGCTCAGGATAGAAAAGACCTTATGATGATGATGATGAAAACGATGGGTCACATTAGGACAGGTTTTAATGAAATTTGAAACTACTGAAGTTGATAAAAATATTGTACCTTTAAATATTCTTGAGCAAGTTGTTTATGTTCTTCGAAAAGCGCCATTGAACGAGGATCATGCTCGTCAGGGGTCGCGGGCCTTAAGTGGGCATCTAAAAGTAAATGCATGTTGTCCAAATCTGGATCTGGAGGAACTGGACTGCTAGAAACGTTGGCAGAACTCTGTACTGACGCTTGAACTGTATTTGTCGTGCCTGAAAAAAAAAATATAAAAAAAAACAGTAAATATCAAACAAATCTATTCGAATTTTAAATTTCGAGCAGACCTCTCATATAGGCATTGTTAAATAGAAACAAAACAGATCACGGAGTCTGCTACTAATTTCTAGAGCCGTTGGCAACAATATATCCCTGAAAAGCAGCGGAAGTGTGGAAGATATTTATTTATTTGTTATAATATCATAATAATAATTCATTGATTAAAGCTTTCCTTAGTTTGGTATGTATTGCCTATCTAATTAACCATTCGTGTTATTAGCGCTATTATATAATAATATATACTATTAGACGAAAATATATGTCGGTATACTTTAACCTCAAATCCTCAAACAGCACAGCGACTGCGCAGAGTTGAGCGTCGTCACTTCCCTTTACACACTTCCGTTGCAAAGCCATTGAAGTGTTTAACGTTTAGTGATTTATTTATATTTTGTTTCCGATAATTCGAATTTAATGTTCTTAATAACCGATCAGTTCAACATAAGAATTTTATGGTCTCATAATGAGGCAACGTAAACGACAATAAAATTCTTAAATTTTTGTCATTAAAAGTTACATATTTTAAAGAAATTAAATAGTAAGTAGATAAAATAAAAACACAATATAAAGTGTTGGCGAAAACAGTTTACTATTATTTACAGTGGAAAATAACCACGAAATGAAAATTCTATAAACGCTGTAAAAGAAAAATAAACACTCGTTCGTTCGAAAACTGAAAACTTCGAAATCGTTTTGAATGGCGCCAACGTAGTTTAGAAGTAATTAATTTATAATCGCTATTAGTCATTTATGTAGCCAGAAATTGGCCCCTTGCCAACCCTAATGCCCGAGACAGGTAAACTCCATTCCAAATCGACAAATAGATGAAATTTACTCAAAATTGTAAATACCTCACATCACTTACTAAGCGAAGAAAAATTTTAGTTTTGATGTTACACATTCGGATCGACGATAAACAAGACGGTTTATGCGAGTGTAAAAACTATTCGTACAGCCTTCAACCTGTCTCGACCTGAAATTAATATTTTGCTACATATATAAAAGCATGAAACTGTTGATTTAAAATTCTTGATAAAATTAAAAACTTCTACAATTCTTTGCTTTATGAAATTAGGTTATTGCATTATTGTATTAATAATACTTCCACTGAAGAATTCCATCTACTATGATTTGATCGATTATCACTTTTCGAAACATTGCTTTTCTGTAAAGATGTGATGTGCATCAGGTACTATTTTACTTTATGAGCGTTTTAATCATCATTGGGACTTCAATCTGAAACCTGATTAAGCACAAAGCATGTATTTTCACTCCTTCGCATTTCCCTAAAACATCCCCTTTCCTAATTATTTGAGAATCGTACGTACAATCTATGTCTCCCTCTGCCCTCTTCATACACCTGCTTCTTTTTGTAATAAACCTTTAAGAAGCTTTTGATCCTTCAGAAGGTATCTCTCCTTTTCCATATTGACTTCCATGGAGCCCTCTGTTCTTCTAAATCCATTCACGGCAGTTTTGATACAATATTTTACCATACAACACTACATTTTAAACGTTTGTGACATTTTTGTATCATGCTCCAAACATATACTTTTAATAATCTTTTTTGAATTTAGAAATTGAATACAGCAGAACCTTGATAACTTAAACCTCGATAACGTAATAACCTCTATAAATTCATAAAATTTTGTGTTCCCTTCCTACTTAAAATAAGAACCCTCTATAACTTAAACGAATAATTTGGGCATCGCACCTCAGTAAGCAGTGAAAAGTGGTTTGAATCGGGTGAAAGTCTTCTATGTAAGAGACGAAGAATTGCTGAATTTCCTAATTTAGAAAAATGCTTGTTGTGTAAATGGTTTAGACAGTGTAGAAATAAAAACACTTAGGTTAGGTTAGGTTAGAATTGCTGAATTTCCTAATTTAGAAAAATGCTTGTTGTGTAAATGGTTTAGACAGTGTAGAAATAAAAACACTAGTTGAAGACTGTGTCTTAGAACTCCTTTTTACTAGATGTAAATACCACTGAATCATCTTTAAATCCGAACATGATAGTGCTTTGTTAATTAAACCTGTTTTCAATATTATTAATTACAGTTTTGACATATTGATTGTTTTCAAAAAAATAAAAAAAAAAATTATTCCCTGTACAAATGGTACCTTAAAATAAACCAAATTCTCAATAAATATTTTCTTAATATGTTATGAAAGTACCACGAGTTTTGACATATTTGTACTGAGTTATTTTAATATTACAATTTACTCCATTTCACAAAACCATTTTATGTGCATAATGAATTTTACGACTCCCTAGTCCTAGAATGTTAACCATTATGGGCTGGGAAAATTTTTTGAAGGAAAATTGGTTAATTGCCAAGAATGAATTCCTTAACTATAAACAAGATAAATATGGTAAATAATTCGTGAATCTTATTTAAAAATAACTTATGAAGTGTATCACTAATAACAGAACATCATTTTTTGTCAAAAAAAAAATTATAATATTTCAATAAGATGGTAAAGGAAGGATCCTTATGCTTAGATTCTTAAGAATCGCCAAGAAAGATGATCATGAATCACTTTTTACAAAATTATCCACACTTTATAACAAGTCCGGCATGTTTTTGAAAGTTTGTCACGATAATGAATTCATTTCAAAATAATAGAAACAGATGTATTTTACGACATTGTAAATTTAAGGTCGTTACCATTTCCGAGAAAAATCCATTTAATTAAGTATAAATACACACGCGTTATGTGCTACTTCAAAAGCGATACAGTCCAGCACGGTTAGCCAATAAAAAGTTCATTAGCCGCGGCAAATGCGATCCTGTTTCGTTTTTCTATTGTTTCGTCTTCAAAATTAAAACTTTCGATTTCCTCCCAGTTCTTCCAGGAGCGCCATGCGGAAGGCAAATATTAATCGCTGAACCGTTTGTCATATAAGTCGAAGTAAATGTGGGTGATCGCAGTTTCCGTATTGGTGAAAAGCAAAATTGTTTTTGGTCTTGAAGTCTTTATACTAGCAAGACTGAGAACAAGATCAAGACTCAAACTAAGACTGAACATGCACCACCAAAACCAAATACACACGTTTAAATGGAAAATTATTGCTTCCGGTGGATTTTCGACTTTTGAAGCAACTTTAATATATACTTCAGAGGTATTAGACAGAATAGGAGAACAGAAGACTCTATGGAAGTCAATAAAAAATAAGCGATATAGGTTGGTAGGACAGTTTCTGAGGCATGAAGGTTTAGTCAGAGACATTGAGGCAGAAAGACGAGTTAAGATGAGTAGAGGTAGATCTAGATTAGATTACTGTTCGCAAATAGTTAAGGATGTGGGTTGTTCTAGTTTTGGGGAAATGCGAAGATTAGCTCAGGATAAGAAAGAGTGGAGGTGCATGTCTAAGCAGTGTTAGGTTTGACGACCTTATGATGATGATGATGATTATGAAGGGTTAAAAGAAATATTCTATATTGACGTTGCATCTTTAAGGTTAGAAAAGGTATATGAGGTAGGCACACCAAAACTGGAGAAAAGGGGGAAGCTTTTAGTTATTGATTAAAAAATTGTGCAGGCATGATAAAAATGGATGTCTAGATTAGATAACTCTTCGCAAATAGTCAAGGATGTGGGTTGTTCTAGTTTTAGGTAAATGAGAAGATTAGCTCAGAATATAAAGAAGTGAAGATGCGTGTTCAACCAGTCTTAGGACTGAGACCTTATGATGGTGATTTGTATTAAATATTATAGCAACAGGAGAGGTTCAGATTTCATACAAACCAACCTGACCCTGTGAAAGCTAGTGTTTAACACCCAAATCGTTGCTTTCATCTGTATGTAATCTTATTCTGATTGATAGTATTCTATACTACACCTTTATCAATTAAGTTTACTATTCTTTATATTCTAGATACTTTCTATTTCAATTTTAAAGGATGGGTGTTAATAACCTAAGTAATTTCCCCTGTAATTCACGAAAAATTCAATAATAGCATAGAACCCAATTAATATAGTTTTTCAATGCTAGATTATATACTCCGTGCGTTTTGGGTAATATTTCTTACCTTTCGTAGTTATCTTCGTTTTTATTTATAATTTAAAATTGTGTATTTTAGGGAATATTTTCAAGCAGTTTTTACATTTTTTTTATACATCAGCGCAATCTTCCAACACTTTGTCTTTTACATATGTGATGTAGCATATTGTTAACAATAATATATATAAATATTAATGTGTTGGTCCAGTGCGCTCATATATTGCGCGAACGTATAGGTAAGTGGTACAACAGTTTAATGATTTAGTGCTGTATGAGCTGTATGTTCCTAAGGAAAGAAATGATATAATCCGTGCTCAATTACAATCGCGACATTCATCTTCAAAAAATATACCTAATGCATGGATTCGATATAATAATTGTTTTTTACCACCAGTTTGTGGATGGTACTGCCAGTGTAAAGTACGTACACGAGTCGTGGGCTGTTGTGCACATATAGTTGCAGTTCTCTGGTATTTAGGACACAACAGGTACTCGGAAGAAAAAGAAATTCAAATGGTCAATTACAGTGACTCCATGTTCGACGCCGCTATGTCACAGTGTTCTGATAAAAATGGCGAAAACTCAGTTTAATCATTGTTACTATTTTTATAACTAATTAATGATAATATAATTTGATTTGTTAACTTGCTTACCTTAGAAAACGATTATTGTCACATACATATTAAAGTATTTGACTTTATTTGGCTTTTATATTAATTACAAGTACCCTAAATAAATATATAGATGAATAAAAACCAAAAATTCTTCAGGGGAAAATATCTTAAATAATCTTAGACATCCATCCTTTACAATTGAAATTTCACGGTATTATGGACCTACATTGCCTACGATGAGGTGCTTGCAATGTTTATAAATCATGGAGACAGACAATTAAATAGCAGATGACTGTAGTACACGACTTCATGTGAA